ACCATTACCTTAAATGGAGAAAGACTGCTAGAGCAGTGTTCAGTGTAGTAGTGTCATCTTCCGAAAGTAGAAACTCCTGCTAAGGTCAGGAGACTGCGTTTGAAATGCGTTTTAAGATGACAAGTATGTATATAGGAAGGGATTTTGGTGGTGGGTTGCCCAGTTGCAAGTGGTGTATGGTGTGGAGATGAGCTTTTTTTGTTGCTGTTGAGATTTTGTTTCAATTTTCCCCTTCTGCAAAACGGCTTGCATCCTTGGCAGACTTTCCCATCACTGGACTTGATTGTCTCAGCAGTCTTAGAAAGAGGAAACCTAGAAAACGTGTTGCATAATATTTTGGGTAAATTGAATGGTTGATGAGACTACTGGGCTCAGCTTCTTGTTTCCCTTCTTGGAGGTGGGTGGAAAAGAGCCTTGATTCCATTAGTGATTAAGGGAGTGGTGTAACAGAAGAGCGTGTTCAAATTACTATCTTCATAGAAGAAATTTAGTTTCTTCTAATTATTTCCCGCAGGCAATATCCAGCTGCAGTGGAGCCAACGAATTGTGACTTGGCTCCTATGATTCATCATAGAAACTTAACTGCTCCAGGAAGAGCAGATCTGACAAACTGGTCTGTGAGGGATCACCCTAGAGTGTTGCGGTGTCCATCTGAGACACCTGCTTTAGCTTTCTGGTAGTTTAGTATTTTAGCAGGGCGACTGACTTGAAGTGTTGGGACTTGCACATACCGCTTTCATGAAGGAGACAACAGCAGGCAGGCCTGAGTATTCACACGCTATGGTGCATGCATGCTCCTCCAATTTATCTGGCCTCGGCATCAGTTTAAAACCAGTAGGTTGGCAATGGTTTGCATCTGCTGGAATTGCATTCCTGTTGGTCTTCTAAGCAGCTTTGCTGCAAACTGCTTGACCTTTACAAAGTTACGTATGCAGGTATATAATCTTGGGCTTGTTGGGTGTGCAGGCACCTTCCTGCTGTTGCATTCAGAAGTAAAGGTACAGCCTTCTGAAGTGCTTCAGTTCTTTTAACAGTCTTACAGCAGTAAAGTCCATTTCTGTGCAGACTGATAAATACTGTGTCTGCTGCATCTAATTTTTGTAAATCAACCCTGACTGAATGAGGCCTGCAAGCTATGGTTGACGTACTCCCTGTGGCAAATAGTCCCAGTGCAATTTGGAAAGACTCCTTCAAAACCAGCAGCTGTTTCAGGCACATTAGTTTTGTCCAGTGCCTGGAGGTAAAACCACAGCGCTAATTGCCTTGTAAACCTCTCCTGGAGTGGCTGTGACAGCAGATTTGGAAGTGCAGCTCCATGGGAGGGAAGAAATTGCACATAAGTGGCCTGTTAAATGGGGGAGCTCTGGCGTCTGCTCATCCTGAATTTGAGATGTGGCTGATGCTGGATCAGGACATCTTACTCTTGTTCCATTTTTTGAGGGAGGAACCCTGTTCCATGTCTCTGTAGCTAGTCTGGCATTCTCACTTTGTGTGTAGCTTCCTTTTGTTAAACAAACAAAAAACTAAACCAAAAAGGGTGGAGGGAATCACAGAAATGCCTTGGAGATTACAGAACATGTTGCAGTTCTTGGCCCTTGGACAAATAATAAGGAAAATATGAAGAATTCCTCTGAGATTATTACGGTTTTCTTCTGACCTCTCTCAGTGAAAAGTATTGACCTTCTTGGATAGAAACTTGCTTCTTTAGGTCGTCTACTAATACTAATTCATGAGAGTGAAGTAAATTATTCCAAATTCTTCCTTTTATTTAAAACTTGGCATACTTTACCACTTCATGCATGTGAAAGGTCGGACAGTAACTCTGAATTTTGCAGGATATGGAACTGAAAGTTAAAGCAGGAGAGGGACAGGGAGTAACTTCGGAGTGTGTGCTTTTAACTTCCAGATCACAACCCTGGATTTCTAGATATACCATGTTACCTCATGGTTTGGATTTTTGTTTTCTTTTTTTTTTTTTATAAATATCCCTTTCTCTTTCCTTAATGAAACATAAGACTTAAATTCCCTTTTTTGTGATCATTCCTTCTAAATTCAGATTTTGTAAATTATTTTATTTGCATGTTAGCATAAATGAACTCCTCTTCCATCTTTCAAAGATTGTTAAAGGCTGCAGAAGACTTGAGACCTAACTTATAGTTTACGAATAAATTAATTCCTCAAAAACTCTGTTATTAAGTTCTGGGGCTGTGGTTTGTTGGGTTTTTTGTTTGTTTTCTGAGGGTGGGGTTTTGGGAAGGGTTGGAGGGGAGAGATTGCTTATCCTGGTGAATGTTTTAAACAAGGAGTATTTCATATCCAGAAATGACCACATTGACTTACGTGTTATTAAAGGAGTGAATTGCAACATCTCGTGTGTCACAGGTATCTCTGGTGGGACAGATTGCTAAGATTTTATACTTCCTGGAGGGGAACATGGTTGTGTTTTAGTGTTATTACTAGTTAAGGGTAGCTGGTTCCACAGTGTTGCTGTTGATGCAGGGTGACTGAAACTACTGTGTAGGTGTATCCTGAGAGGTGTTTACTTAAAATGCAAAGGAGATGTGCAGAGTTGTTCAGTGTCTCTGCTCTAGGGGTCAGCAGTTTTTCAGTATGGGGCCAGATAGAATCATAGAATCATAGGGTTAGAAAGGACCTTAAGATCATCAAGTTCCAACCTCCCTGCCATGGGCAGGGACACCTCACACTAAACCATCTCGCCCAAGGCTTTGTCCAACCTGGTCTTGAACACCGCCAGGGATGGAGCATTCACAAGCTCCCTGGGCAACCCATTCCAGTGCCTCACCACCCTCACAATAAAGAACTTCCTCCTTATATCCAATCTGAACTTCCCCTGTTTAAGTTTGAACCCGTTACCCCTTGTCCTATCACTACAGTCCCTAATGAAGAGTCCCTCCCCAGCATCCCTATAGGCCCCCTTCAGATGCTGGAAGGCTGCTATGAGGTCTCCATGCAGCCTTCTCTTCTCTAGGCTGAACAGCCCCAACTTTCTCAGCCTGTCTTCATACGGGAGGTGCTCCAGTCCCCTGATCATCCTCGTGGCCCTTCTCTGGACTTGTTCCAACAGTTCCATGTCCTTTTTATGTAAAGGACACCAGAACTGCACACAATACTACAGGTGAGGTCTCAAAAGAGCAAAGTAGAGGGGCAGGATCACCTCCTTTGACCTGCTGGTCATGTTCCTTTTGATGCAGCCTAGGGTACGTTTGGCTTTCTGGGCTGCAGGGGCACACTGCTGGCTCCAGTTCATTTTCTCATCGACCAACACCTCAGATCTCAATGAATAGTTCAACAGCAACCTGTACATAGTCCTCCTGTAGCCAACTGCGTGATGATGAGTTTGTGTTATATATAGTATACATAGCTGGTGAAGTGTGCTACAACTGGTGATGTGTTCCTCCCAGTAAGGCAGCTGCAGCTGGATTGATGAGCTTTGCGGGGGAGCCCATGTCCACACTGTTAGACAAGAAGCCTAGTGCAGATGTGCCCAAATGGTGGGAGTCAGCTGGGTGCAGTCAGGACAGAGCACTGCAGCCAGCCTCCGTGGGCAACTCCAAATTGAAACTGGAGAAGAACAAATATGTCCGTACTAGTAAATCTGTATCTGCAAGAACTGAGTTCACTCCGTTCTGTACTGGCTGTGATGTGTCTGGAGTAGGTTAGTGGGCTAGTGCTGTATTGCACACTTTCTCTATCCCCCTGCAAGTTCACACTTGTGAACTTGCCTTTGATAAGTTTAGAGGAACAGAGTAGTGTCTTGTTGGTATTTCTGAATTTGTGTGATGGGAAAGACACTTCAGAGAGAACTCTTAATTCTGACATGAATATGGAGATGCACCCTATTTTTGGTGATGTCTTCTTAATACAAGAACAACACCCCTTATTTTTGCTTCCTAGGAGCCATTATGTAGTTTTAAAGCATTCCTATTTCCTTACTGGCTTACAGGACTGAGTAATGTACTCAGATAGTATGCCTTCAGTTACGGTGGCTTTCATCTAGGTGTGTACATGCCCAGTGTGCTTGATTTCTGAACTGTCAGGGTATACACGTCACCAGTGCCTGCTTCATTGGGCACAGAGGGGAGGAACTTGATCAGAATTCAGATTTGTTACGCCAACGTGCTTTAGCTTTGGGTGAAAATAACTTTGCTGTAGCTGCATGCGAGCTAAAAAGTCTTCCTTTGAAATCTAACCTTGTTGTCCTCAGATAGTATTGTTACTCCAGTATTTGATACTGGTTCACCCAGTCTCTAGAAAAGATGTACCAGGATGTGCTTTGCTCTGCAGTTTGGGTGATAAACAACAGACTGGCAGTATGTGGTAGAGCCTTGTGCTGAGGGAATGAGTGACACAGGCGTTCCATGGATTTTTCTGCTTTCAGTAGTTGTCTTTTAGAAGGGGGTGTGTGCTTAGTCATTTAAACCAGGAGAGAAATCCTGGGAACAGGAATAATCCACTAAACTTTATTCACCTTACAAAACAAGTGCTGTTTGTGCTGCAGGGAGCTGTTGCTAGAAATTGTTATAAAACTGCTAGGGAATCCTAAAAACAGCTGGGAAAATCCTGGCACTTACAAATTACTGGCTCTGGGAGCAGGAGAGGAAATCCTGGAAACTTTTGAGAATTCCCAGAAATTCAAAACCTTATCAGAAGTTCAGAGAAACTTAGCAGTTACTAGAGACCTAAAGAGCCACTAGAAACTGAAAATTCTAGGAGTTACCAGAAGTCTCGAGAAAATGCTAGAAATTCTGTGGGAATCCAGTAAGTTCAGTGGCTCTGCTAGTAATATCTACAGTTTATGGGTGTTTGCTAGGAATACGGAAGCCATTAACTGTAACTCTTGTGGTAGAGTGGCGAACAGTTGTACATGGGTAAAACCTGCTCATCTTCCCAAAGCTGCCAAGCGTACGGTTTTAGCATCTTACTCGATAAGTGTTCTATATGTGCTTCCCTTACACACAAACTTGTTTTATTTTCTGCAGTCCTATTTTGTTACGGATTATGATCCAACAATTGAAGACTCCTACACCAAGCAATGTGTGATAGATGAGAGAGCTGCGCGCTTGGACAGTAAGTAGCCTTGCTAAAGCGTGGAACTGACAACCTGTAGCTGTTGTTTACATCTATATGCATAAACTGTAATGCAGGTAAACAACTGTGCAGCATGTGGGGTTTATGTAAGTGTGTGGCTTATAAAAGCTACCTACCTCTGTTTTATTAGTAAGATACCCTGGATCTGAAGTGCTTATGCCTTCAGTATGTGTGTCTATCTTTAAAGCAAATTGGACATTTTTTTTGAAGAATTATTCCCAAATCCATAGCATCTACAAAATTAGGAGAATTTATGTGACTCTTGGCAGCTACCTGGGTGACATGGTGGAGTGAAAAGCCCATCACTTGAGTGTTGTGTGCAGTCTCTTCCAAATGCAATATAAATGCTTTGCTTTAAAAGTTTCAGTTCTCCCTTGCCAGTGATTTCTTGAAGGACAAATCAGCACCTCAACCAAGTCTCTATAAGCATTTTCCAGCTGTTTCAGCTGGTTGTGAATTAGCCAAAGTCCACCAAGCTTTGTTATTCAGTTTGTTTGGTAGGTCTTGAATTGTTCAGTCAGTCCAAGAACTTGTTGGGAATCTTAGCAAAAATCTGATAGATTTTTCTCTGTTAGAGGTGATTTCTGCTTAGTTATGATGGGCAGGAGAGGCTATAATTATATTAGAAAGGATTTTTTTTCTTAGTCTATACTCTTAAGAGCATGAACTATAGTAATCAGTGTTTTGCGTATGTTCAGTTCTGGATACAGCAGGACAAGAAGAATTTGGAGCTATGCGTGAACAGTACATGAGGACAGGGGAAGGTTTCCTGCTTGTTTTCTCAGTCACTGACAGAGGAAGGTAAGCCTGATGTCAAGTTATTAAACAAATTGTAGCTAATCTTAAATTATTGTCCTTTATAATCCTAGTGGTTATCCTTTATTGATAATCTCAAACAGAAACATTGAGTATGCGTTCACTTTTAGATTCCACAGTGTGACACTCGGCACTGATGAAAACCCATTTTAAACCAGTCACTTATTGAAAGTATCAGTCTGTTGGAATAGAGGACTTGAAAGCATGCACACGTGCACAAAAAAAAAGGCAATTCTATTCAAGCGCTCTATTGCAGTCCGGAATTCCAGCTTCCTGGGAGCGACAGAAATTTAAATTAGATGTCTGATCAGTTCTTAGAAATACTCCCTCGCTGTGTGCTTATCGATGTCAGGTGTCTGGCTCTGGATTTCTGAACGGGTTATCCAGTTCAGAGTGTGTCTCTGCACTCTTTTGCAGGCAGTGCTCACTCTTATTCCCCTGAATTGACCAGAAGCTGCATAGCTGTTTGACTGTGGAGTTGAGATGAAACATCTTTTTAGAAGCTCACAGAGATTGGTCAGGAAGCTCCTGATCATTGTAAGAGTAGGAAAGTTCCATGTATATACAGACAATCACTTAATGTTTTGGTTGTGATCTTCCTCCATTGAGCTTATCAGATACGTAGTAATAAAGAAGTGCTCAGGGATCTGTCCTTCTACTTGTTTCAAGTTGCAACAGGAGAGCAATAAAATGATAAAAAAAAGTCTATGTTTTCCTCCCTCTTCCCCCACTTACAGATTCAGTCTAGGCTCTGATATGTTACTTCTGATCTTACTAACAGCTCTATCAATGAGAATTAAGATAAATATTCTATGGAGCATGAGCATGTTTCCATTGAATGTGTATCTTACACTTAATGCTGCTAAATGTATAAATTTATCTTGATGTACCATCCAGAAGAGACTGGGTCTGTGGATTTAGGACATACTGAGCACTTGTGTTAGCATAAATATTTTTGTTACAGAGGACTGTAGGGTTTTTTGAAGTCATCATGTAAACTCCTGGTTTGTGTAAAAATCTTAAGTTTTTGTTTGCTCTTCTGGCTAAAGGTCTGCCTTGATTTTAAGCAGGTCTTGACACATTAAACTTGCATATCGTTCTCTTCTCTGAAATCCTGCAAAGACTTCTGAAAAGCAGAGTTTTCATTTTTGTTTTGATATCCATTTGATTCGAGACTTTCCTTGCCTGTCAATGAAGTATCTGCTAGCAGTGTCTGTTCTGCTTGTGTGATGGAAAATAATTCTGAAGCAAGAAGAAACCTAGAGGACTTAGTTGGTAACTTTCAACTCTCTCGTTGCTACAGACTTCTGAGCAGAGTATTAAAACAGCATATCTAAATGGAGTTGCAACCATGCTTAGTGGCATACCTTCCTTCTAATTCACCTTTCTTTTCATGATTGCAGTATATGGATTGTGTGGATTGACATTGTCATGGCTGACTGCATAATTATTATTTTTTTTTGTAATGCAATTTTCTTACTGATAAATCATCTTGCTTTTAAATTTTTAGCTTGCAATCTAAGTGTAAATGGCTTCAGACTCTATGCCTGGAATTAAATACAGTGCTTGGGAGGTCTGTGCTCCAAAGGATATGTGATTGCCTGCAAGTATCTGTGATGAAGCTCGTTATGCAGTGACATAGCTTTGATAGTGTTTACTTGAAAGCAATTATTTATTTATCCAGCCCTCCCTCTGCCTCCAGAAATCCTTGTTTAGGCCAGAATTAACTTGTTTTATGTACAGTTTTTGTAGCTTTCTGCTTTGCTCACTTAAGTACTTCTGGATTATTCCTTACTGCTTGAACAGCATCAGTACCTGGTATAACTCAATAACTGGAAAGCACTCTGGTCACTTAGCCCTGCCATTTTTCTGTTTTTCAAGAAATAAAATTGTCCAGCTTTGATAGGTTTCCTCAAGTTTCCCAGAAGTAGCTGTGGAGGTTGCCAGCTGAAATGCTGATCACCAGGGTCTGTAGACTGTAACTGGGATATTCTAGCTTGAGTCAGTATCCATAGAATGGACTGTGGTCTCTTGATTCTCCGTAGCACATTGGCATCCAAGTTCTTCTAGCTCACCCCACCTAAGCCCGGTGCATAGCACACTGCTAACTTCAGGATTTTGGTTTTAGCTTGAGCATTGGATGATTCTCTAACTGGTCATGCTGTGACAGTGAACTCTGGTGGAGTGCCTGCAGCTGTCTGAGCTTGTGCAGCAAGTCATGAGCATGGCAGGGCAAGTCCAAATAGGTGACTCATAATTTCTGAGCTTCTACAGAACCTGGGAATCTATGGATAAGTACACTGATGGCCTACTTCTATTTTTTTACAGCTTTGAAGAAATCTATAAATTTCAGCGACAGATTCTTAGAGTGAAAGATCGTGATGAGTTTCCTATGATTCTAGTCGGTAATAAAGCAGATCTGGACCACCAAAGACAGGTAATTCACTTGCTATTAGTTACTGCTCACTTTCTTCTAGGAATTTTAGTTTTCTTCCCACTCTATTTTGGGGAGGAAGAAACAAATGAAAAATCATATCATAGTTCCAATGCAAGAAACACAATTACATTCAGTTTCTGTATTTGAAGAACTTAGAAGTGTGGTGGCATTCCACATATAGCACATCTTCTGCCTGACTCAGTGGAGTTATCTTGAGACCAAATGTATTCACATACAGGGTTGAGAGCTTTCTGTCATGACTTGATTACTCAGGCATGAACGTGTCTAATTCCTCCTCTCTGTTACTCACCATAGTGCACTGTGCCAAGCAGAGTGCATTCCAGCACTAGCTCTAATGATCCTGGGACCTCAGTGCTGTTGCTTTTACTCTTCACTCTTGTTATGTATAAGTGAGTAGCCATTTGCTGGCTTTGTTTGGCTGCTCATCTTCTGTATTAACTGACTTAATGCTTTTGAAGTTTGAAGTACAGCAACATAATTACTGTTCTATTTAAGTACCTTAAGATTTAAGTTTTGAAACAAGTAGATTTTCAACTTCACCTCTAGTTGGGAAGAGATCTTAAAAGAACATGTGATTGATTTTTATCTGAGAGTAAACTAAATATTACTAAAATTGCTGTAATTATTTTAAGAGTTTCACAAGGAAAACACAACTTTTAACAATAAGACATTCCCAGTTTTGTGTTCCAAGGCATGACTTTATTTCTGTCCACAAGTGCTTACGTAGGTTTTGTTCTTTTCTCTGTCAGAAGACAGTGTCTGGGACAAGAAAAAATTTAGGCTCAAAACAAATAACATTGAAGAGTTTAGTGAGTTACTACATTGTTGTTTAATGAATTTCTTGAATACTACATAAAACCTTCAGTACAAAAATGTTCTTGTTGAGTATGCTTTCTTGATTGTCACAGCCTTTTTACCCCAGAACCTGTGTGGAAAGATCATGACAAAATCAACACCAGTGCTGAAAGATACTGTATTGAAAGAAGTTTTTACAGAAGTAGCTCACAGACTCATCAGGAGTAACTTCATGTACTCACACATGCACAGAACTCTCAGCCTATCCCTGATACAGAAGTGAAACTTTCACTCTTCAGTTGCCATCATGCCCCAATCAAAATTCCTGAATTTAACCTTGCAGGTCCTGGAACTTACTGTACTTTATTTTATGCACAAATATTGGTGTGGAAACCATGTAGGTGAAACTGAACTGCTCTGCAAACGGTAATTGCTGAAGGATAAACATGCAGGTGCTTTGGGAGGGAAATAACATCATCGATGTCAGCTCCAGTTTTTGGAGGATGCCTGCAAATGTAGTTGGCAATCTTGTAGATCCATTTCTAGAAATTGTTATGAACTTTGTTATCTGTTCTTCACCTTCCTAATGTTATTGTACCACATCTGTTTCTCCCTTAAAAGAGGAAAGAGGGGCCTGTCACCTGTACCCCTGCTAGTCCTTCTACACCTTATTCCTAGCTGCTTTTTCAGGTGATGGTGGGCTGGCTCACATTCAAGCTCAAAGCAGCTGTTTTCAAATTGCTTAAATTTGCAGTTTTGCTGCTCATATCTGAACACAAATAAAAGCATACATCCCCAAAAGCTCCTTTTGCTTTTTATGGTTGTTAATTGCCTTAATTGAATAGATGTTGACAAGCATAACTTTTAGTGCTGTCATTCACACAATGTACATTCAAATTGGTGGATTTGTGACTTCCATCAGAAGTTAAGGCTTAGGCAGTTGTAGCTGAAAAAGCAGTTCTAGGTTTGCTTAAACAGCTACTTACGTCTTCTTAACTCTTCCCTGCCCCTTCCCCACCATGTGATGTGTTTCAGTTGGCCTTAAGTCAGCTTGAAGGAATGGTTTAAGGATGCTGAGCTGACCTAATTAGTCCCCAGAAGGGAGAGGCTCCCCTCCCTCTTGACTGCATGTTTTGCTCTTTCCTTTTCTGGCCCTAGTTCTCACTTGAAGCACTTTGTGAGCTGAATCTTCTCTGGATGGGGAGAAAAACAGGCAAGCTGGAACGGTGTTCTGGGATCTGTGTGAGTTAAATCTGCCTGCAAAGATTTGAGTGCCAGTGCTGGAAACATGGGAAGGGGTGGAACTGTGGCTTGGAGCAGAGCAGGGAGGAGTTGGGGTGGGGGGTAGAAAGTGAGATCTTGCCTTTTGGCAGCAGCAAGCAGTTAGATGTTATCAGCAGGGTGTTAAATGCAGCCAGAATTTCTGCTTCACTGGTGGAGTTGTTTCTGCTCCATCATGTGAACTCTCAATGCAGACATCCAGTCAGTGAGTTGGACCAGCTTGCTGATCTTGGCTGAAAACTAGTCCTGCCACCAAGTATGGGAAAACTTCCTCCTGACAAGCAAGGTCATCCTGCTCTGGCTGCAAGGCGTGCTGCACATGCAGCTGTGATGAGAGGCCTGGGGGCAAAGACAAAAGTACTCCCTCACCTTGCCTAGGAGTGCTGGGGCAAGTGGGAAGTGTGGGTCCCAGTTTCACTGTGAGAAGTGCATTTTGCATCTTCAGTCTGGTGATATGCAAGGCCTCACTCAGGTTACATGCAAAACATGGTCAGCCAGGCTAGTGTCACCCTGCTGTCCTTCTACTTACCTGGCAGTTCTACAAGAAGACGTCTTACTGTCTTGTTTAGTCACAAATACACGTTTTTCAGTTTCAGAACTTAAGTAGCATTTTGAGAAATTGAGGAAGTTGGGTATGAGTTTTTAGAGCAAAACTACTTGTACTAGGCACCTGTCTTTTTCTCCTGAAAGATGGGCAAACCAGTGAAATAATAGAGAGCACATGCTACCTCTGAGAGACCGAGGCTGAGATAAAGTTATTTGGTGTGTGTTTTGATCAGCAAATAATTCTCAACAGAATTAACACACAAGTCTTCCTGGAGCCAGAGTTAAACATGTATAAAAGTTTTGGATGTCTCAAGGGTCTGACCACACCTTTATGCAAGTAACTGTTCTGTAGTTGAAGGCAGTGCAGATTACTATTGTTGTGATACCATACATTTGGGAGCAAATGATGTGGAACTACTAATTCTTGTGTGGTGGCAACTGTTCCTCAGGAAATGTATGAACTGGGTTGTGCAGTGCAAGTGCACAGCCAATAGTATGATCTTGGTGAAGTGTTGGGGCATACCAAAGGTGTAGTTTAAAAGAGTGGTGACTGCAACACACTGTAGGTCAACTCACAAGTGTTTTGGGGAGAGGTGAAAGTTTGAAATAGTGATTTGCTACAGTGATACCTGTATAGATAAATGGAGTTAAGCAGACTTGTAATTTTGTTTCCTTTGTGATATGGGAGGCAAAGTCCTCAATATCCACAGGTTAGGTTGGCAAAGAAAAATGAGTTATTGGAGGATAAGCGAGCTTTAATCTTAAGGATGTCCTTGTATGATAAGGAATAAAGTTACCAGTGTTTCCAGATTCTCCGATCAGTCACATCTCTCATGGCTCTTAAAGTAAATGCTGCACAGTAGTCTTTCTCTTAAATGGGTCAGTTCTGTACAACTCAAGCAACACTGGATATTTCTACGCTAAGACAATTCAGGAGAGCACCAGATGTTTTAGTAATAAACATTACTGATGGAGTAGGCTTGTCAGTGCAGGATACGTATGACTTTTAGTAGATAACTGCTAGTTTAAACTGGGTCAGGTCTGATCATTCCCCAGATGGCAGGGTTTCAAGGAAAATCCAAGTTGTAACAGGAAAGTGCTGCATGTTGCTGGTTTTGGTTTTGCATCATGACTAAACTAAAGCAATGACCTAGTGCTTATATCGTCTGTGCTGCTAGATACCTTTAAAGCAAGGTTTTAAAGAGAGGTACACGTGACTTCAGTTTATGCAGACAGATGATGAGCAAAGCTAATGATCCCAGGCAAGCAGCCTTGTGCTTTGACTTTGATCAGCATCAGCCTAGATGCTGGCAAACAAACAGTTAATGTTGGCTTTACAGACTCCCAGCTTCATAAATAGGTTGGCCTGAGCTGGCTTATTCCAGGAGGTGAATGGGTTCGAGGACCTGGGTGGTTACCTACCCAAATTCACTAACATTTTGTTTGGCCTTCTCTTAATGATTGTGAACTTGTATGGCAGTGTGACATTAACTTCTTGAAGTGGTAGGGTTTTATGGCCATATACAGTGATGCTTCTGTTCTTACAGATGGGTTGTACCTTCAGGTCTTCCCCTGGCTTGAGCTTCCCCTGATTCTGAGCTTTATAGATAACCAACAATTGGGTATCTGATGCAGTATGTGAATGCAGCAAGTCAGTCTGAATATGTGTCAGTGCTTCATAATCACAGTTTATGTGTACCAAAGTGACCTTTTATATGAGAATGCGGACAATAGAGTTGGTCAACAGTGGACTACCCCTAGGAAAGCATTATGGTAGACCACAGTAAGCATGAAGAAGCAGCACTTGTGGGTGGGATGACAGATGCACTCCTCAGGAGTGATGGAGCTCTTGGCAGGAACAAGCAATGTTTCTGAGCAGAAAGCACTGCAGGATGACCACAAGGAGTTAGAAATGGATTCCTCTCAAACTTGAGGAAACACTTAACTGTTACCTGCTGACATGAATACAATGTGGCCCTTTGTAAGTGTCCAGGCAAAATACAGATGCAGTGTTAGATTAGGTAGCCTTGTAGAGTTGCTTTAGGTGGAGGAAAGAATAGAAACTTCAGAAATGAATATATTTCTGGTGCTTCTCAGCTACAATAATTAAAAGGGAGGGCCACGTGAGATACATTCACAGGATTCTTGCACAGATACTCAGATGTTAACTCTTTTAGTAAGAAGACTGTGAGCTTAGGGAGTTGGGAAATAAGCTTTTCCGTGTTTGACTTGCTCACTTAAATCTTCTATAATGGTGTTTAGGTTAAGAAACTTTTACCAAATGTCTGAACAGCATGAATTAACGATATCCCAAAACCCCAGTAAAATATCCTGCAACAAAAGGATAAATATCATGATTCCCATTCATATTCAGCCTTAAGATTAGCAAAACTAAAGAGAGATTCCCTGCAGAGCCAACACACACACAGTTACTACCAGGAAATCTGTAGTTCTCTACTCCTGTCAAAATAAAATACTGTGTTCTTTGAAGAAAAAGGGTTTAGTTTTTGTTTTTTTCTGGTGATATTTAATAAGCTCTGGCATCACACTTACTGAAAAGCCTGTCATGATACAGAGTTGTTGTACTCAAGAAGGGAGAGTAAAAAGACGTAAATTCATATTTTTGTATGTTTGCACATACTGCATTTCCCTCAGACTTGAAAAATGGAATTGGTATGTTCTGACTTCTGATTTGCAGCTTGGGCACTGCAAATGTTTCTGTATTGTACCCAAAATCAAATATTTTTTCTAAACTGACCTTGTTAAGGTCACTAAAATTGATCACAAGCTACTTGACAATATACTTGTAAGACAGACTAGAAAGAATATAAGCAACTACAGATAGTCTAGTAAATGCAATAAGGACTTTAATTTGCACCTATAGTATTTTAAATGCAGAATATTGTGGAAGTGTAGCTTGATGTTATTACAGTGTTAGTTGTATTTCTAATGTTCTTAAGATACAGTAATGGAGAAAGTAGTAACCATGTACATTTAAAGGCTGGGTTCAGTTTCTCCTCAGGCCTATGCATTCTTTCCCAATTATTTATTTTTATTACACTTTAGCCTCTCACTTTCTGGGACTAGAAAATGCTATGCAGGGATGAAGAAAAGTAAAAATGGTTAGTTTTGCAAAAACTGCCATATCTGTACTTTAACTTACGTTTGTCTGGTGAGGCAGAAAAGTACAGAAGGTTCTGGAAACCCTAATGCAAACTTTGGGAAATTCTACAATGTCATTGATGTGCCAGAAAGTACCTATGAACATTTCTCAAAGTGCAGCCTTTGTAAGCTTTGGAATAAGGATACTCCAGCATCTGGGGCTAGAGAGGAAGGTGGAAGTGGGTTTGTTCTAGTTAGTGGAGCAGAAATCCTGAGTATAATTCTATATTCAGACACCTATGGAGGGTTGAAGGATCCCAGTCATTCTCACATTTGTGCCCTGCACTTAAAAATGGCGCTCCAGTAGTTGATCTTGGTGTTGGATTGGTTTTGAGGGTATTTTTTGGCTTCAGCTGATGGCAGTAACACTGAAATAAATGTAGAATTTTCTGAGAGTGTTTGAGATCAGCAGATGCATCCTGAGTTACTCCAGTTGGGATCTCTTTGTAGAGCTTCATGAGGGTGTAGTGGGAGCAGCCCTCAATTCAGCAGTAAATTAATGAATATAATGCCAGTGGGGGTACTAAGGACAGAAGAATCAAAGATGTTGAGATACTGTGCATGAAGGCTCTCAAACCATGTGTGTAGCTGTTAGGAAAGTATTTTACAAGTTAATAAGTACTTCTGTGCTTTCCTATTCCCATCTCTTTCTGTGTAGCTACTTAATCTAAAGGAATATGTGAGTGCCTTTTCAAAGCTAAATTAAAAATAAACCTTTTTTTTTTTTTTTTTCTTTTTGGTTCTCATCATATCAGTGTTCTACGTGCTGCTTTAACATTGTTCTATGAAAGCAGTGTAATCTTTGACATTTCTTCCACTAGACATTGTCTTGGCAAGATCTGTTGTGTTTCCTTTTATCACTGAAAGCTGCCCTTTCCTCTCTGGCCCTGTGGGTGACCTTCCCGTTAAAGCTTCACATGCCTTGCACTGCTCGGGGTAGCCTTCCGCTTTCTGACCTCACTGCTTTCTACTTACTTCATCCAAAAATTCACAGTGATCACTTTTGGTTTGGCGCTGTGGCTGACTTATTTCTCCTTGCTGTAATGGTCCACTAGCTTCCTGCCTTCTGCTTCATCGCTCTAAATTTTATACCAGCTCTATGATGCTCATTATTTCTTCTTCATTTCCCTTTTCTCTGTCATAAGGAGTCAAAAGTAGACAGGTTTTCTTCAATATCTCTGGATAGCCTGAAGGCTTAATGGATTTTTCAGATCTTTTGTAATTTAAGCTACATTTAAGACTGTCTGTATTAATATTTTGCTGTTCCATAAGCAGATTTTTAAATACAAAGATTCAGAAGCTAAACATCAGCACTTGTTTCTAGAATACTCATCTGTGTTTTGGTGGGGTTTTTTTGGTGTCTAGATTTAGCTAGGACAGGGGGACAGTGAGTGTAGCAATAGTGTTCACAGTTCTGTTAGTAATCCAGCAGATGTTAACTGAAGCACTTGCTTTGAGGAGTGGAGGACTCTTGCCTGTGAAGAAAAACTTGGTCTTTTTATGCAGAACTAGAGTGAAGATGAGGCAGCTGCAGTGAGGGAAATTCCCTGGAGGGTTGGTCTTTGCTTGTTGCAGAAACTTAGAAAAAAATCTTCACTTGCATTTGAAAAGCGGTATCACGTGGATTTGCTTCCCAGTTGTATTATGTGGGCAGTGTGGAAGCTATTCTGTGGCCAAATGAACATTATTGCTTGAGGGAAATAAATCCTTGGCAGGTATATACAAAAGCCTTGAACTTAATGATTGGTGTCTGTTACAGGTGACGCAAGAGGAAGGTCAGCAGCTAGCACGGCAGCTCAAAGTAACATACATGGAAGCCTCAGCAAAAATCAGACTGAATGTAGACCAAGCTTTTCATGAACTTGTCAGAGTTATAAGGTATGATAACTTGACGAGGTAATTGATGCCCATCCATTAATGGATAGCTACAGCACATGTTTTGAAATGTAGTGGGAAATTGCTGAGAAAATTCTGCCTGCTGTTTCCTGTGAGCTTTGACCAATGCTCTCTATTATAAAGTGTTCCTATGTATAAGGGATAATGTTTGCATGAATATATAATATGTATTTGAAAGGTATTTTCTTCACCTTAATATCTCGGAATTTATTTATCACCCAGTAAATAAGCCTGATAAACTAAATTTAGGATTGGCCTTCTGTAAAAAATGGTGTTTCTTATATTAAAAAAAAAAAAGGCAGACCTCAAAAAGCTTTGATTTAAGCAGTAGTTTGAATGTCAAAAGTAAGTCCATCCTCCATAAGGGTATAAACCCCATAACTTAAAATACAGTATTTATTTTTATTTAACTGAAAATGATTCTCTGAATTTAATTTGAAATATCTGTTTCAGGAAGTTTCAAGAACAAGAGTGCCCTCCTTCACCAGAGCCAACACGGAAAGAAAAAGACAAGAAAGGCTGCCATTGTGTTATTTTCTGAGAATCCCAAGAACCAAGCTATCAACTGCCAGATTATTTTTTATTTTCCACCATTTTACATCACTTCTGGTACTGGTCTAGCCTTACATGTGCATGTCCTAAAAGTGGTCACCAGAATAGCCTTAGTCCAAGGAGCTGGCAAAATAGTTCTTGAAGAAGACTCTGTCATCCTGGGGCAGACTTCAAAACAAAACACTAAGGCTGCTTCTTTAATACCACAGTTCCTTCCTCCTCTCCCTTAAGAGCTTGCACCTTGTGGAGTTTTATTCGCAAAGGAGATGAAACAAAACCGTGTAGGACAAGGTGTTGAAGTCATGCATAAGTTGTCTCTTGTGAATTAATTTATTTTTACTTCTGAAATTTCTGTAGCTATTACAAAGACCTATATTGAAGTATAGAGAATACTTTTTAAAAAAGGGGTGGATTGGCTTTTTTTGCCCTCAGTTAAATTAGACTTGAGTATTCAGCTAGCCTTAAGAAACCTACACTGAATTTCATTGTCAGCAAAAATTTTCATCTCTCACTTATGCTGCAGTTTTATTTCAGTGGCCAAAACAGTCTACTGTATTTATTTTATGAATCCAGAACAGCTACAGGACAGCTACTACTACTACTACTATTAGGATATGGCCAAATACCTGAGCTCATTCTGGATTTGAGGCATTTCAGCTTAGTAAGAAATTTCACATCATTTGTTTGGAAACAAATTGTGTCTTCCTTTGTATTTTTGGGTAAGGGATTAAGGAAAACTAAAATTGTAGCTGTTTTTGTTTCATGTGATATAAAAATGAATTTGATCTTTCCATTGTCAGAGATGATTAAATGTTTTTGCTATATACTTTTATACATTATTTTCTTATCAAACTAGTTAACAAGTATTTTTATATGTTTGTAAGCAAATATGCTTTCACAGCATAACTTGTGTATATGTAAAGATGAGTATTTAATTCTCACAGTTCACTTTTAACTGACAAAATGTGGGATTTGCCAAACTGTGGTAAACTTCTCCTTACTCTTCTGTTATACCCAAGAATGGCCAAATTATGTGCCTGCCCAACACACCCATAGAGTAAAATCTAATGTTGTGTTTTAATGAATTTCAGTATCCCCTACTAAAGACTATTACATGAATTATTAAATTGTAAGACTTTTAACTGATTGTTTAGTTAAACTGTGGATGGTTGTTTAATTTTGAGTTCTGTGGATTGTGTTTAAACAATTCAAGAGTATGGTCCCTGATATTGAAATACTGAGTGGTATTGCACAGTTGTCACCTTACTGAATGTGTCCAACAATTCTTTGAAACTTGATTATTAAGCAAACCCTTGTATAACTTCAGGTGCTAGAATTAAAGATGATCTAACCATTATAAGGGGGTAAGCACATTGCCTCTTTCTGACTCTCCTCCAAAATTTGAATTTTTTTGAGGTGGGGGGGAAGAAGGGCATGATGAGACCTGCTTAGGAGATAGATATACACACATGCACAACCTTTTTTCAAGCTTGGAAGTAAAGAAAGCCTACTTCCATTTAAATCATAATAGATGATAAAAGCTGATGTTTGACTTGGAGTATGTAGTCAGTGGTCCAGTCAACAATTGTTCTGTTGCTATGCTCACAGTCAGGTGCTCTGCCATAAATCTATAAACGTCTGCTGAGAAAACAGTGCTTAAACAAGTTCAGTTACCTGTAGAGCAGCAAAGTGTTAAACCTAGAAGTAATGCTAGTGTTGTGCATAGCAGAGAAATTTAATTATTGTTTGTGCTATTTCAATTAGGTTGTGTAATACTGTTTTGAAAGCGTGGGTAGCTTCCCCCCTCATCCCCTTTAAATAGTTACTGGTTGTTGAAGGGCTACTTATGAATAATGTGTAGAAAATTCAGGCAAGGAGTTACAGTGCAAGTACATTTGGGAGATGGATTACATTTTTCCAGTCAAATGTAAGAAGTTACAGCCTGTAGCAAACCCCACATGTTTTCTTAAATATGCAAAGCTCTCTGGAGTTAAGTCATTGAATGTGTGGCATTAGAATGAGTTAAGACAACAAATTGCAGCATGTGTGTTGAGGCTGAATTTCTGAGGTGCAAATACCTTCAAGTTTCATCTTTTTTATTTTTTTCTTTTCCCTTTTTTTAACCTTTCACTCATGACAGCCTGGTTTTAAAATAGTAGACTGTGATATAGATAGGTCTTTTAATATGTAACTCTGTAATTCATAAAGAAGGCGGAGAGCACCACACCCTTGCTTTTCCTCATGGGGAAAGCTGAATAGCTTCGAGGTGGTTGATGCTAAGCAGCATACTCCTATCTGCTAAGCCACATGGTAAACTGTATAAGCAAGTTAAATAGAAGTGGGACCATCAGCTGCTGCTGTGGAAGTCAGCTCTGTATTCGTTAACTAAGACAATATATTCCTGTGCATGTGTTTTAAGGCTTCTACTGTAGAGAATGTACAGGGAAATCTTTATGTAATGTTGTGGTCTCTTTTTGAGAGTGGTTCATTTATGACACTCTAAGACACTGTTAGATGCAGCTATTTTGATCCTACTCTTCAGACTTGAAGTTGGTATTTAGAAAAGTCACACAGTAATAGTGATCTAGGGGGTCCTCAGTTCCAAACATCTTGAGGTGTTTTGATGATTTGCTTTTCCAGTTGCTGTACCTGAAGGTAGTGGTGAAAGATGGAATTTCTCTCCTTGGCGTGGAGCTTGCGAAGTGCAAGTCTTCTAACAGTAGTAGCCCCGATCTGTCTGCCTTGGATTATTTGTGAATTGCAGTATTGCTGCCTTGCTGTAGGACATCAATTTAGCTGTCAACTTGAGAGTTTCTTATGACTTTACCTGCCAGAAGAAATGCTGAAAGATCTGTAACTTATGTTTGTAATTACTTCAGTTCAGGGCCACATTCATGAATCATTTAGATTCACACTTGGGGAATTTGGAGGGCTCAAGTCGTATCCCAGAAATGACCTCCTGCTCCTCCTAGAGCAGACAAGGAGGGTCTGGGCCTTTGTTTCAAAGCACAGAATAACTCTCTTCTTTCTGGAATCGCACACTGCTGAGCCTGCTACTCTGCTGGATGAGGAGGATTGACTTGCTCATAGGCAAAAGTCTTTTTCTGTAATTGGTGATGTTTTATAGATGGACCATAATTGGGGAAGAATTACTTCCACGTAAGTACACTGTAGTTCCTTATGCCTGCTCTGATTGATGTATTTGCTTTCTCTGACCTAGTAACTCTTCTGCATCAGTACTCAGGCTAACTTAACATACACAGAAGTATTACATTACTTCCTCTAAAACTGCTCTTTTGTGACATGGTCTGTTCAGGGGCAGTAGAGTCACTGATACTGATGATAGTTATAAATTGACCTTGACTGTGCAGAAAAGAGATAAATCGTAAGTAGGACTAGTTGCTTAGTCTGTTTCCAGCCTGTTGCACTGGGCATCTGACTGGACTGTGCATCTACAACTGGTCAGTCCTTCTGCTGCAGGTTAAAACTAACCTAGTCTGATAAAACTGCAGAGCTGTGTAGGCATATGAGGTGGGTGATCTTCCTATCACAGTTGTTTTCCTTTCAATTTTCTAATGATGCAAGTTTGTGGTGTCTCTCAGCACACAGGACACGTGGTGCAGTGGACCCTGACAGTGCCTGCCCTCTTCCTGCAAAAGAAGAAAAGCTCCTCCACCCCTTTCTCATTGCCCTGGCTAATGGTGTTGGCCCTGGAGAAGTTGCTGGGTGCTCAGGCTATTGGGCAAGAGGCGATCAGATAAATGCTCTAGCTCTAAGTGGCTAGCCTGGTATAGAAGCATGTAATGAGATGAGCTGTTGTGAAAGGGTTAACAAAGCAAAATATATTTGAAATGAGTTAACACCCACTGATGCCAAGGAAAACTCTGACTTTATGCATGGCGTTGTGGTTAGTCATTGCTGATAAAGTTCAAGTCTGGATTCATACAAAAATTCTAGCTAACGCTCTTCTGACATCAGTTTATGTGACAAGATTTCACCCATGGCATATCTGTAGCAGTCATTGACTGGCCATACCATATAATTTTGTTATTAAGATTTAATGAGCTTATTCCAAATAGAAGATTCTTGAAGTCAGTCACCACAAGCCAAGTACTGCCAAAAGTTATCTGCGCTTATTTAGAAGTGTGTTGCCTAGGAAAGCTCAGGAATCTGCTAAACAGGGAATGCATTCGTTCGCTTAATTTAGGCAGATTTTGGAAGTTGATTACTCGCATGTACCAAAACTGTGCTAAGCACTCAAACTGAATTTAGAAAAACACTCAAGCTGGAAATGTGGGGGCACTGGGGTGTTTCCTGTGTTGTTCAGCTGACCCACTGCAGAGCAGCAATCTGTCAAAACCTCAAGGCTTGAAGTTGTTTAGATGGGCACTTGCTCAGAGCATCCCAGATTGTAAATGCAGTGCTTGCCCCTTTGTAAATACAGCTTTTCTTGCCATGGTTACCTGGTTCTATTGGAAAGCTAAGTTAAAATTGCAGGCTTGAAGCAGATTCTGGGTTTTAATAGGGGTTAAGTAGAAGTATGTTCAGCATCTTAATCCTTGAACAAGTCATAGTCTGTTCAGCTGCTTTTTAAACTGGATGCTGTGAGCTGTATCAAGACCCACAGTATTTGGTATTCAGTAACTTGTAGTGACACTCGCACTTTCTAAATTACTACATTTTTGAAAAAGGTTTCTGACATGGAAGTATTGTAGAGAGGGAGAAGTTACCATAGCAGAGTACGGGCACCAAAAATGCAAGTAGGGGCAATGACAAAACCTCTTACTTCTTTGTCTCTTAGTCCTAGTCATGAGTTAACATGTACTAGAGACAGTTTTCATCCAGTTCCAGCCCCCTGCCATGGGCAGGGGCATCTTCCACTAAGATCAGGTTGCTCTAAGCCCCGTGCAACCTGGCCTTGAACACTTCCAGGGATGGGGCATCCACAAGCTTCTCTGGGAGCCTGTTCCAATGTCTCACCACCCCCACAGTAAAGAATTTATTCCCAATATCTAATCTAAATCTGCCCTCTGTCAGTTTAAAGCCATTCCCCATTGTCCTATCTGTAAATGCTCTTGTAAAAGTCCTCCAGATTTCTGGTAGGCCCCCTTTAGGTACTGGAAGACTGTTATAAGGTCTGCCCAGAGCCTTCTCTTCTCCAGGCATTTCACTTGAACTGGGCTGCTGAAGAGCTATAGCACAGAACAAATACTCCTGTGAATGCATTTCATGTTTCTTATGAGAAATATTAAAAAATAAACTTACTCTGGTGATACTAGTAGCTTATATGCTTTAAAAAGTAGTCTGTGAAGTGGTATTTTGAGACCTGTCTGGGACCTCATGTCCAGTCCACCATGTGAATATAACACAAGTTGTCCTCTCTGTGAAAAGCTGTGATCTGAATAGGTAAAACAAGCATTTCTATAGAAGGAAGGTCTCCTAGGAGTAAATGGTGTAGTATCTTTTTGTTGTGATGATTTATAAAGCAGTGGACTTGTGTAGGAGATCCACCTCTAAGCAAGGGAAGAAAGGTGGGATTAAAAACAGCAATAAGAGCCATATGGAAGGAAGTTATGGTGAAGGCATAAGGAGGCGAGAATGGCTAAAGAAAACTGCTGACTACCACCCGGAAAGGTTCAACCGAAGCTGTAGCAGCTGCTACAATCATTGGCTGCGGGACTAGTTAATGTGAATTGCACAGGGAACGATTTATTGACAACCACGAGATGTCACTGTTGGTAGGCATATACCTGAGTAGTTACAGGGCTGTTCAGGGCTGCTTTTGCCAAGATCCTTGCGCAGTTCAAGTTCTTATTTTTACAAGCAGGGTAGGAATGAAGGACAAGAACCATAACAAAGCCGCTGATCTATAATTAAACAGGGCCATGTGTCAGTGCTATTTCAGAGTATTTTGTTCTGTGAACTCTGTAGAAGCCAGGTAGTAGTGAGAGAAAAAACAATGATTTATAAATAGTAGTTCTGAAGAAACTCATGTGGAAAGCAGGAAGAATGCTTGCAATCTAAACCATTGGATGCATGGTAATTAAAATATTGTACAAATCCTCAACTTCTTTATAGTTTGTCAAGCTCTCATTGTCACCACCTGTGTCAGGAGTACAGCAGTCAAAATGAGTAACGTTTATATATCATTAGCAACATATACAATTTGCAATTGGAAAGCTATGTATAAACACTTTGTGTTCAGCTAAATAATATATCTAAATGAGGGTTGCTGTTAGCAGGAGAAAAATGTCCCTCTCGTCCAGGCCTGGTATTTCCCTGAGGAGCTGGGAAATCTCTTGAACATGGTGCTAACCTTTGAAACTGAAACAACGTTCTAGTGCTTTTCTCCCTCCTACA